GTGCGTGCGTGTGTGTGTGTGTGTGTGTGTGTGTGTGTTGGCAACAATTCAATATTAAACTAATTTAAAACATTACAACAAAATTATGATTGCCACATTCCTACAGATTCAAACTGTTTTGATTTTGTCATTTGTTGACATTTAAAATAGTATGTAGTTATTGTCTAAAAGTGGACTTTTTTAACTAAGGTGAGCTTATTTTTGTGTGTGGTCACAGTGCGGAGAAGGAATGGGGCGATGGGATTCGTGGTCTGTCTCTGAGTGCTGCGCGTTATGCTCTCATGCGTCTGGAGGAAGGACCGCCTCACACCAAGAACTGGAGGTAAGACGCACACGTTGTGTCATTTTATCATGTTTGTAATTAACATAGAAATTAACAACATGTCTGTGCGTGTTCAGTCGTTTCCTTGTCACGGCTGTCAAACATCAAGAAGTGTTTGTGAATTATTATTATTAACACATGAATCATTCATGCCATGTCTGTTTTTTTTCTTTTTTCATTTCTGTTCTTTTATTAAAAGCAGCCAATTCAGCGATTTTTTTTCTTTTTTTCTTTTACTCGTGGTTACTATCGCTGCTCTTTTCCCTTGTCTTTGTGTTCTTTTAATTTATTGTGTGTTTCAATTGCTCCTGTCCTTTCAGGCCACAGCTGCTGGTGCTGGTTAGCACAGATGCAGAGCAGAATGTGGAGCAGCCTCGTCTCCTGTCTCTGACCAACCAGCTGAAGGCCGGCAAAGGTCTAACCATCGTGGGGACAGCTCTAGCGGGCACCTACCTGTCAAACCATGAACAGGCTCAGCGTGCAGAGCAGGCAGGGAGCATTTCTGCTTTTAATGACTGTCCGCCGACTCCAAACAAGAGGATTTATCRAATCCTGGTATTCTGTGCATTATGTAAACGCTTTGCTTTGTTTTTTTTTTGTTTTCCAGGCACTGCGTAAACTGATGGAGACTGAAAAGGTGAAAGGCTTCTGTCAGGTGACTGTGTCCTCAAACCTCCGCGATGCTACGTCCCACCTGCTTCAGGCCAGTGGGCTGGGAGGCCTGAAACACAACGCAGTACTGGCGTCCTGGCCACGCAACTGGAAGCAGGCAGATGACCACCAAACATGGAGGAATTTCATTGGTGAGTTTCTAGGAAAGGAAATGATCACATCCCCCAAAAAAAAGAATGAAACACGTCTTTGGCTGTGCCTAAATTCTGCCTCGGGCAGTTTTTTTTTTTCATCTACCTTCAAATAAAAACAGCCAGTTTGAAGCTCTTATTTATGTCCAGCTGGTGTATCTCAACAAGAAAAATATAACCATTTTATTTTATTTAGCRCCAGTCCTCATCATGTAGAGAGGATTTAGATACTGTAGAGTCGATACARCCTATTTTTATATTTGCAGAGTTGGTCAGAGAAACCACYGTAGCTCGCCTCGCTCTGCTGGTACCGAAGAACATCTCGGCCTTCCCGTCCAACGGCGAGCGCTTCACAGAGGGTCACATCGACGTGTGGTGGATCGTTCACGATGGAGGCATGCTGATGCTGCTGCCCTTCCTGCTCCGCCAGCACAAGGTACTGTCCAGGAGTCACCCCTGCGAAATAGGACAACACGACTACATCACATGGAAACTAGAGTTTTTTTTGTTTTTTTCAGGATTTTAGTTTTGTACTCTTAATAATCTGAAATACAATATAACGTTTCATTTAAATATATTTAAAGCAAATGATTACACTTGATTTGTCACATTTCCTGAACACCATGCTGTTGTCCTTTTAGGTCTGGAGGAAATGCAAGATGCGCATCTTCACTGTAGCCCAGATGGACGACAACAGCATCCAGATGAAGAAGGACCTGACCACATTCTTGTATCATCTTCGCATCGATGCCATGGTGGAAGTTGTAGAAATGGTAGGTTCTCTCAACGAAAGAACCACCATTGTGCGAGTAAATTAAATGCATTCCCCTTTTTTTTCCAAGTACATTTATAAGCACTTTCATGTCAGAACTACTCAGCTGGGGAAATAATTAGAAAATGCAGCAATGCCTCAAGCTTGGCCAGTTGCTTCAGTAAACACAACTAGCATTTTTTTTCTTATTTCTTTCTTTATTTGCACATGCAGAGAGGAAATGATTGCTGTGCGTTCCACTATTGGAGCATATTAAATCACGTAAAGGAAAGCATGGAATACAGCATGTTAAAGTGTCAGAATGCTTCATCCAGTGCTTGTAAGATGATCAAACAGCTGTCTAGAACCCTCCTCCCTGACAACTTCTTTAAGCACATGAATTAGCATTTGAAAAATTGTGTTATTTGCCAAAACCATCAGGCTTTGATTAGTCTGTGACATTCTCTGCTTGAACTTTTCAGGCRTGCTGAGGCAGGAGTTTTATAGCTCTCTAAAGCTAGTTTGTCATTACACACCAAATCATTTTTCACAATGGCAGCGTCCCACCGACTTTACCCTTCATAATTTAGGCCTCTTGTTTTTAGAGAAAAAAGAAAGAAAAAAGAAACACAGCTGGTGATTAAATGTTTAGCTAGGTGTCAAAAACAATGAGTCGACAAAAGAAGAGGGCAACACACGCTAAAAAGGGTATTAATGGAATAAAAACCTTTAAGCAACATAATGTTTTGAGGTTCTGCTCTGAAATTATTTTGCAAATTGTCTAAAGCAACTAGAGATGGTATAGCTCTTATTGCCCTAACTGCCTTGTTTGGGACAACTCCACCGGCCAGGAAGCTAACCCCAWTTTRCACTATATGCGGTTCTGCTCCGGTCCGGCCTCCACAGCAAATACCATTATAATCAAAGACAGTATTCACTCTGGCTCTGCACAGCGGCGCAGAACAGCAGTGAGCAGACGGCGATCCGCCAAAATTAGATACGACAGACACCGGAGCTGTGCCTGAGTAAACTACAAAAATCATGTTGCACCAACAGGAAAAGGAAAAAGCACAACATCCATATTTTCAAAATAATTAAAAAAGACAGATTCTTTTTTTGTCAAAATCAGCTATATTAATAAATATATGGATAGATTTCTGCACAAATGTTGTCAAAATGCATCATTCTGTTTGGAAAGCAGATGGCAACATGTAGCGTGAAGCATATGCATACACATAATACACATGGATTTTATTTTGAAATCAGAAGTTTCTAAAAGACAACAGCGATGCAGGTTCAGCTGTGTTTTTGAGTTGTTTTTTCCCACAGAATTAAAGCACCAATTTTGCTCTGACCTCAACATTTATCCCTGGAGTTTATCGCGAGAGCTCACATTTCCTGCACACGCTTCTCAGACCTCCTCTGTGCTTCGCATCGGAGCGSAGCGGCAAATGAACAGCTGCAAACTGCGTACTGCAGCGGAGCTGTGTTGCATCTAGTGTAAATTAAACCTAATACTGTTAATCAGCAGCTCCTCCTACTTATACGAGCTGGATTAGAAAGGTTCTTTGTTTTCTTAAAAGAGACATATGTAAAATCCACTTTCTTAACCGTTAAATSTATTTTGTTGTGTTGTACAATTGTTTCTGTTTAGCATGACAGTGACATATCAGCCTACACATATGAGAAGACGCTGGTGATGGAACAGCGGTCGCAGATGCTGAAACAGATCAACCTGACCAAGACCGAAAGAGAAAGAGAGGTTTGTTGAAGTTTGTTGATGTCAAAGTTTTGTTTCTTAAATGCGCTCAAAGACACACACATAAACGTGACGCGACTTGACAGGCTGACTTGGCTCTGCTTGGCTTGATTTGACTTAACATGACACCCAGCCCCCTCCGGTCAAAACGCATTTCTACGGTTAAATCAGAGCAGTAGGTCACCATATTTATCCTCTCTATTAGAGAGTTGACAACAGCCAGAACAGCGAGTGCTTTGGTTCTGTGTGTGTGAGACAACATGACAATATTTTGACAGATGGGAAAAATCAAATATTTTGATCTCAGCGTCGCACCAAAAATCGACACCTGATACCCTCGGTCGCTAAATGTATTAAATGACTTATCTCCATGTTTATATTACAACATATGAGTCATTGCTCCATTGTGCACTGAATAAATGTTMTGTTAATTATACAGCAAATTCATATCTCTGCATTTACTAGGGGTGCAACGATACAGAAAATTCACGATTCGGTTCAGTTCAGTACTTTAGTGTCACGGTTCGATATTTTTTCGATGCAAAAAAGAAATTTCCATGTCCTTTTTAACTTGTAATTTATTTAAATTAATTATGACCATTTGTTTAACTTCAAAAGTACAGTTTTTTTAATTGAATGTTGCTGAAACAGCAAGTTTCTCAGTGGATCTGCGCTCGACGATGCAGCCTAGGTGAAGTAGTCGAACACAGATCCACTGATCCTTCAACAAAGAGCATCTTCAAGTTGATAAAATAAATTTTAAAAATCTGTATTGTTCGTTACAAGTGTGTACTGAACCTAAAGCACTGTATTGAATGGTTCGATACGGGTACATGTATTGTTGCACCCCTAGCATTTACCTCACCTTCATTGTGGGAAATCACAGATCCAGAGCATCACTGATTCGTCCCGCGGATCGATTCGCCGCAAGAACCCGGCTGCTGTGACCACCCAGCTGAGTGTGACTGAGGACCCGCCTGCCGCCAGCAAGGAGGAGAAGCCTGAAGAAGAGGTAGGGTCCCTTTCACCAAGAGAGCACAATTGACTCTGGATTTGGTGTAAAGTTTTTTTTTTTATGGACACACAAAGTGAGTGTTTAAAAAATGTTAACATTGTTTTTTATGTTTTTTATACAAGGATATGTGTTCAAACAAAGCAGGTAATTTACAAAAAAAAATTAAAAAACAAAGCTTCTTATTTCCACGTCTCCCTCCTCCCCTCCCTCAAACACCGTGGCTCTCTGTGACTGCGTTCCCACATTTTCACTTCAACCGTGGCTCTTTCATGTTGACATGAATCCACATCCGTCCTCTTTTTTTTCTTTTCCTCTCGTCTCATAGTCAAAGTCGGCCTCTTCCCCTGTGTCCCCCCCTGCTCAGGTCCAGCTCATCCACGACAACACCACCCCTGCGAGCCCTGCAACCCCGTCCACCYTGCTGACCCCCGAGGATGCTCAGAGCCCCGGCGAGCAGATCCAGAGGACCTGGTCTGAGAAGTGTGACGGCGAGGCAGCCAAGCCTCCCGGAGCGGTCACAACCGAGGATATTAAAGACATCTTCAACATGAAGCCGTGAGTGCTTTACAGCRTTTAGCAAACTGTTAGCTGCTGGAAAGGTGAACTTTTGCTCTTGTTCACAACAGAAAGAGCCATTTTACACGATGTAGCGTCATATATTACAGCAAGGATACAAGATGCTAGGACTGGGAGGAGGGATCAGTTTTGCTTAAATCACTGATAACTTAGTTTTGATAATGACATCTTTCTCTTTTTGTAATGCTGCAGAGAGTGGGAAAACCTGTAAGTACTGAAGTCCTCATAAACCTCATTTCATCCATCCACATCTTAGACTAAGTCAGGCACATGAGAAGATGAGGACCATTAAAAGAAACGTGTGAATGAGCATCTGTCATTTTTACCCAACTTGAAGTGCTTTGAAATGTTTAATATTTCATTTCTAACCGATCCTGTATCAATCGTTTTGACCTCTGTCATTTTGTCTCCCTTCAGGAACCAGTCCAACGTGCGACGTATGCACACAGCGCTCCGGCTGAATGAAGTCATTCTTAAAAAGTCTTCAGAGGCCAAGCTAGTCCTCCTCAACATGCCGGGCGCGCCCAGGAACCGGGCAGGTGACGAGAACTGTATCCTTTATCAGGACAGAAGTAGGTTTCCTGCGAGGTCTCCCTAATGTGTTATAGTCACAGCGTGGCCCGCTGTTCAAAACACAACTAATCAGCTGTGACGCCRGTGTCACATAGCATGACCACTGTTTAAGGTCCAGGATTTGACCCACGTTTGTGCCGAACAAGCACTTTTTTTTTAGTTTTTGAATTTCGTCAGATCCAACCATTTTTACTAAAGCATTTTACAACTTTACGAAGACTTTCTGTGTAAATACTCATATGAGACACATCATATCACAATGATGATTAAGTCAAATTTGGTCAATATGACCTAATTACATTTGCAGATTCCTGGCTTTAAAAGCTACATTTTGATACCTGGATCATCCTGATGTCATAAACAGAACCAGAGATATGACCTCATTTGTCTTGTTTGTTAAGATAATACGTTAAAATTTGGTCGAAATCCTAATTTTATGTAATTTTAATGAGGAATTTTTCATTTCATTATGAAGAGCAAATCTTAAAGGCACAGTGTGTAGGATTTTGTCAATTCTTTTAGCCGAAATTGAGATAATCACTAATGACAATAATAAAAAAAACACATCTAATCATTGCAGACAAAGACCTTGTTTTATTATTTTTACCTTATGAAAAGCTGTTTATTTCTCCATGGTCATGGGTTGCCCCTACAGGCAGCTGCCATCTTGTCTACGAAGGCTCATGAAGGACAAWCTGCGGTGGCGGCGTCAAAAACGGTTTTAGTTGTAATACTATAAATGTAATATTTGTTGTCTGTCATTGTAGCTGGGATAATTTTACTTATTAAAGCTCATAATCTTACCACTTGAAACATCACTAGCCCCGAAGCTGCTGGTAGACATTGCGGTTGGAATTATCAAAGGTTTTTGACACCTGAGAGACACCGTAGAAACTCCTTTGTGTTTGGAAGCGGGGGGTGGGGGTGGGGGGAGGATGGTCCAACCACTCAACCACTAGATGTCGTTGAAAACAACAAATCCTACACACTGTGCCTTTAACTAGTATTTGAATATTGACATTTCCCAGCTGGAAAGAAACAAAACTTAGCTAGCTCACAGGGAAAATCTCAAAATCTAAAGGCGTTTTTCCTAAAAATCTTTTAATTTTTTTTGCTACTGCTCAAAAAAGTGCTTTAAAAATATTTTTTCTTGTTAAATTTTACACAGTTCATTCAAAGAAACATTGATAAAGCATTTATTATATTTTGAGGAAATGCAATTTTTGTAAGTGTTTTAATCAAAACACTATTATTGCTTATTTCTCCACATTCCACTTTTAGACTTAATCCTCGTTTCGATGTGATGGGTCACATAAATGAMTACAAGAAATGCACTTTTTGTTTTATTGTTCTTTAAGAAATGATTTATTTGATAAATTTCTTGATGTTTATCCAGTATTTAAGTATTTTGTGTTTCAGTTAGCTCAGTTTGTTTTAAAGGCCTGGCATCTCAGGACGAGGACACTTTTTATTTGAAGAATGTTTTTCTATCCGCTTGTATGTATGTTTAATGTGTCTCGTAAGCCTGTGTGGGCTTGGGCACCTTCTGTGGTGCATGACACAATTTATAATAAAATTACTGCTACTACTACTACTACTACATACAGCTTAACATGTCTGCATTATGGCTTTTTATTTGATGTATTAAAAAGCAGCTACTTCTTACACCTTTTTAAACACATTTTAACATTTATTAATCAGACCATATTTTTTTTGGCATTCTAAGTTGTGGTAAAATCCCAGCTGTACTCAGACACATCTGTAGCTCACACTGTATGGCAGGACAAAAAAAGGACATTTGTGATTCAACTATGATAGAGACAAAAATAAGGAATGGGTGTAAAACCATTTTACAGCCCTGTGTAAACCCAGAAGCCCCGCGGTCTTATCGATTGTGAAATGAAAGAAATATGACACAGTAAGAGTAGCTAAGAAAAAAAACATTAAACTGTCAGTGTGGCAGAGCACTGGAAGTGTTTACAGTGATGAGAAAAGCAAATGTTTTAAGACCGCTTAATACAGTTTGATGTAACTCTCAGGATAAAGATCAGGTTCTAATCCTCATGTGGCTAATTCCACCAGGATCATGCAGTCATGGTGTTTTTTTTCTTTGCAGAGACACAGAGCTATGAAATTTGAAGAGAGGATGAATCTCTGACTGCATCTTTTGCCACGTGGCTTATAGAGAGCAATGCAGACTGATTGACAAAAAGTTCAACTGACAAAAGCAAAAGTGATTCTTATCCTCTGAGACGACTCTCTGTTGTGTTTTTCCTTCCTGTAGTTTCTTTAACCCCTCTCTCTCTCTCAGACATGGAGTTCCTTGAGGTTCTCACTGAAGGTCTCAACCGGGTCCTCCTGGTCCGTGGAGGTGGCCGCGAGGTTATCACCATTTACTCCTGAAAAAGCAGCCCCCTCCTCCTCCTCCTCCTCCTCCTCCTACAATAACAACCCACTCCCTCAGACCTGTTCCTCCATCAGCTGTACTCTCACCCCTCTATCATCGCTGCTTCATCATCAGGTCGCGTATATTTCTGCCAAGACATCCCTCTCACACCCAACAAATAGCCCAGCTCAGCTTTAGCGCCTCTCCGCCCGCAACAGAAGGATAAAAGCGAAACCTTTTCACTGTAATCTGCTCTACTGCAAAATCAAAAGCTAAGTCAACTTTTATAGATTGTTTTTTTTTTGTCTTTGTAATCAGTGAGGAGATCTGTTAGTGGGTTCTTTGCTGAGGTGTGAGAACACATGCATGTCTGTGTCTGTCTTTGTTTCAGTCTGCCATTTTTGTTTAGTTTGTTTTTTAACATAAGTAGATTTAGCTTCTGTTTGACTCAAATGGGAGCTGACTGAAACGAGCTCAGTGTAAGACTGCCTCTTCAATTCCCTAGTGGTGTTTTTTGGGACAATTTTCACCCCTTATTGTTCTCTGATGTTTATGACAAAAGCCTCTGCAGCCCACAGTCAGGACCACCAGCTGGAGGAAAGGGGGAGACTACAGCTGTCAAGTACGAACTTATGAACATGTGGGTCACGTCTGCAGAAATGTTATCTTTAACCTGCTCACTCTTTAGCACGACTCCGTCAACCMCTTCTCTTATTCTGTTACTGCCACCCCACCCCCACCTATCACACACTCGTTTCTGCTCATTTCTTAGTGGCTGTTTGTTTCTGTGGCCACTGTTAGTGCCAAAAAAAAGAGAAGATACCAAGCTGGTTTGTTGAGATTGACACATAATTAAACTGTGAATAGTTTCCTAGCAGACGGCTGGGGTGACAGCGGAGTGGGGAGACATTACAAAGAGCCCCACTYCCCGAAGAGATTATCATCGCCAGCACCTCTCGACCCTCGTGTGTGTGATTCACTGTAAATAATGTACAAGCCTTGTCGGWATGAGTGTAGTATTTTTGTGACAAAAGCTAGAAAAGCTTCTAGTGGGAAGAAAAAAAAGGTTCCTTCGTTTGAAAAACCCAACTCAAAAATGCGGTTTTTAAAATACATATATCTATATCTATATTTATTTATTGTATTTATTTATTGGCTTTGTCACTGTAACCATCATTGTAACCTGAACAAAGCAAAGCACCTGCACTCTCCATCACCGTGCACTGAGTGAACGTTTGATGATGTCATCAAGTTGATAAAAAAAACTCTAAATGTTATTTTTTCATCTAGAAAAGAAATATGTATCCATGTTTATAGAGAGAATTTACACATATTTATGAAATATTTATGTCACTATGATTGTCACTCATACTATACAGT